CCACGATGCCGCTTTTAAAAGAAAAGTTATGGCGTGTGCAGAAACGGACGGAAATCGGGCCGCATCGGGGTCGTTCGGAGTTCCCGAAACGTGCGTGCGGGACCGGCGGAAACAAAAGCAGAAGATTCTCGACAGCAAAGCTTCACGCAAAGGCTTCAGTGGACCACAGCAGGGTCGGTTTCCGCAAATTAAAGAGCTGCTCGGCAAGTATGTGCTTGAGCAGCGAGCGGCACAGCGGCCCGTGACGACAGAACTGCTCCAAGTGCGGGCTATGCAATTAGTCTTGGAAAAAGGTCTAATGCAGAGCCAGTTTAAAGCAAGCAGGTGCTGGCTAACTAATTTTATTTAGAGGAAAGGCTTTTCCCTCCGAAGGGGAACATGCATATGCGAAAAGTTTTGCGGAAGAGTACGATGAAAAGCTTCACAGTTTTCAGAGGTTCGTCCTAAACTTGCGGCGCAACAACGGCTACCTGCTTGGGCAAATCGGGAATGCCCATCAGACGCCTCTTTACTTCGACATGCCTGGCACCACAACCGTCGAGAAGAAGGGCGCGAAGCAAGTTCGCGTGCTGACATCGGTCAACGGTAAAACTACCGTGACGGAAAGCTCTGTTACACGTCAGATGGGCACAAGCTTCGCCCGTACCTCATATTTAAATAGAATACGCTCCCGAAAGGAGTAGTTTTTTCGAGTGGTGTGATTGTGCGGGCCGGCAAGAAAAATGGGTGCGCGTTGCAATTGATGTCTTAAGTTTTTTTTTTTTTTTTCGCGGTGGAAATCGGGTGCGCGTTACAATCGAGGGCGCGGTAGAATCGAGTAAATACGGTAGTTGCATTAAAGCATATTTTGACTACAAAAAATGTCCAGAGGCATTCTACATAGCGCTTGGTTCCATTCTTATGACCAGTATCTGTTGTATCATTAAGAGCCAGATGCGGTTTCTTGCATTACAGGATATTTCCAATACGCTTATCATTCAAAAGCCCTCCGCACAGGGCACAATTACAGCCTCATGACCTAAATCCGTCACATGATGAAGAGTAGGGTGTGGGTTGTTGCATTGGAGAACATTTCGGCTGCAGAAAACATTCAAAAGCCTTCTGTACAGGGTTTAGTTCCAATATTATGACCGATATCCGACTTCATGAACAGTGGGGTGTCATTTGTCGTTTTAGAGAATACTTTGACAAAAGGCAACGTCCAGAAGTCTTGCGTTACGGTTTCAGTTCTAATATTATGACTAATATCTGTGACTTCATGAACAGTTGGGTGTCGTCTGTCGTTTTAGAGGATACTTTGACTAAAGACAACGTTTAGAAGTCTTCCATTAAGGCTTCAGTTCTTATATTATGACTGATATCTGTGACTTCATGAACAGTTGGACGTCGTCTGTCGTTTTAGAGAATACTTTGACTAAAGACAACGTTTAGAAGTCTTCCATACAGGGTTCAGTTCTAATATTATCACTGATATCTATGACTTCATGAACAGTTGGGTGTCGTTTGTCGTTTAAGAGAATACTTTGAGTAAAGACAACGTCCAGAAGTCTTCCATTAAGGCTTCAGTTCTAATATTATGACTGATATCTGTGACTTCCTGAACAGTTGGGTGTCGTTTGTCGTTTCAGAGAATACTTTGACTAAAGACAACGTCCAGAAGTCTTGCATTAAGCTTTCAGTTCTAATATTATGACGGATATCTGTGACTTCATGAACAGTTGGGTGCTGTCTGATGTTCTAGAGAATACTTTGACTAAAGACAACGTCCAGAAGTCTTCCATACAGGGTTCAGTTGCAATATTATCAGCGATATCTGTCACATCATGAAGTGTCAGGCACAGTTAGTTGTATTAGAGCACATTTCGACTATGGAAAATGCCCGAAGGCATTCTACGGAGTATTTGGTTCCTATCTTATGACCAATATCTGTTGTATCAATAATAACCAGGTGTGCTTTGTTGCATTGGAGGACATTTCGAACACACACATCAGCCGAAAGCCTGCTACTCTGGCCTCAATTGTAATCTTATGACCGACTTAAATCTGTCAGATCATCAAGTTTCCGGCGTGATTATTAAGTAGAGTGCTATAAAATATGATGTGTAAATATACTGAAGGTACCAGCATATTCAAGATCTTGTTAATAAATTTGGTAGTGCAGGTTAGAAACCCGGTGGTTTGTAAACCTGATCAGGAGGGCAGCCGCCGCCTCATTCACCAAAGAGAGGAAAGGGGGGAGTTCAATGTCAACTCCATATATTAACATAATAGGGAGGGGGCACTAAGTCAGCTCCTACATGGAGGGGGGGCACTGCAAGAAACTTTTGCCCCCCCCCCCCCCTCCTCCTTAAGGAGAACCCTGCACACGCCTATGATAGACGTACAGTATGCTAGACGCGAATGTTCATCCGCGGGAGCGGCGCAAGCACCGATATTGATTTCTGGTGCATACCGCTGTAGTTACTTTGGGCACTGGAATGTCAATAACTTCTAAAATAGTCTAAACTGTGGTGGGTGACGCACTATCAATTTTTTAATGTGTTCTCATATCCTCTAATACATATAAACCCGCTCCAGTTAGGAAAATGCCGTTCTGTGCTGAACTTGGACAGTTCTAAGCCAAAAGGTCAAGCAACATTGTGCATCGGCCTTGGACGCATGGGCGTCAACGCGGTTGACGCGTGTCAGTGGTTGCGCGCCCTTTTCCTCCACAGGCTTGACGCGTAGGCGCGTGCATACGCGTGCCAGTGGTTGGCACTTAATTTACAACTATTCGTTCTCAGCGAATACTTCGAAATTTTCGATACCTTAAATTCGAATCAAAGCGAATTCGAATACTATACTATTCGTTCAAATATTCGAAGCATTTGAATATTCACACAAGCCTAGTTTTTAGTACTTGCCATGGGCAGACCAAAATTAAATTTTGACAACATATTCCTTAACATATAAAAGGTTGAAGTATCTCCTCTAAAGTTTATATAGCTTGTTAATTAAAACAAATCTAAAACAAACAATTAGTATGAGCTAAGGATTCTAAGGCTTCTCACATTACAATTTATTTGTTCATTAAAATGTCTTATGCACACTTTATTATTATTTGCACTCTACAGTTAATGTGGAGCAATATGAGCAATCAACGACTCATAATCATAGAAGTTTAGTGGCAAAAAAAAAAAATGTATCCAAAAAGAGCCATAGTTCACACTTTGTCATGGTACAAAATAAAAACTATGCAACTTACTATAAAACTAATTACATATTTAAAATCAGCATAAATGCCTATGTAGACAGCAAAAAAATACATTGCCTAAGCTACGTCTACAGGTCAAGAAAACTTTTTCAAGTAGCATCTTCACTTGAAAGATTTTGGTATCTATGTAAATATACTCAATACTGATTTCACGAAAAGTCTAGGGAATCAATCGCCCTTTGGAGCCACAAGGCAATGCCATAGAGCAATGCTGATTGATAAGTGAAGCATCTCTGCCTCATTGCTGCCAGCAGAAAATGAAACCAGACTTTAATGGTATGCCTTGCAGGCAGCTAGAGGCAATGTTAGAATGTCTGGGACCATTTCCATACTTGCCAGCTCACCATATTTCCCTAGGAGACTCCTGAATTTTGCCAAATCTTCTAGAGCATACGAGCCCGGCCATAAATCTAAGGAATGGTGCTAACCCCACTACGAAAAAAAAGATAAGGACTGTAAAATTTGCTGGCCTTGAGGAACTCCACCAGACGAGTTGCAAAACTGACAAGACAGCTTTCCACCCCAACAAAAAATTATGAACAATTGCAGTGCCTGCAGTCCTCTTTACAATTTTTATGTGCAGTGTAGCATTTCTGGTGTTTCACCATGAGCAAGCTAGAGACCATGGCGGCCGACCAGAGCAGAGACTTAACCTGTCTTCTCCAAGCCATCGGATCTTCGCCATCGGATCTGCGTTTGTATGTAGTCATTGTTATCTACAGTTAGGTGTGTTATCCTCAATTTCAGTTAGGAACTTGTGATAAACACTCGGACAAACAACATTTTTCTGCATCAAAATTCTGTGCATGCCTACCATATGGCAGATATTTCAGCCACTGTAGAATGTCTTTATCCGAGGTGTTGTACACATGAACATTTAGTTTTTTGTACTTACACTGTATAGAAAGCAGAGTTCGTATCAACTTTGTCACAATACATCGGTTTTATGAGGCAAAGCAAAAGGTTTGGAAGTGGCCACTCACTGTTTCAAAACGCTGTACATTTTGTCACAAGTATGCACACACTATATAACAGAGAGCACCAGTATGATTGTGAAGTTAAAAATTTCACTGCGAATCATTCCTTTATGTTGATGACATGGTTGTAGTTCTGAGAAAACATGAATAAAAACATACGCAAGGCTTTTTTCTTCACCTGCATCGCATCGCCACCATCAGTATTGCAATGTGTCACTGTCTTGAGGCTTCAAATCTTGGCTTTGATGTGAAATTACGATTAGGTATTGCTGAAACACATGGTCCTTGGAGCTCTAACAGACATGACGAATGGCCATCTATGATTTCTTTCAGTAGTCCAAAGTTTCCTATATATCCCAAATTTTGATGATATGTGGGGTTTAACGTCCCAAAACCACTATATGATTATGAGAGACGCCGTAGTGGAGGGCTCCGGAAATTTCGACCACCTGGGGTTCTTTAACGTGCACCCAAATCTGAGCACACGGGCCTACAACATTTCCGCCTCCATCGGAAATGCAGCCGCCGCAGCCGGGATTTGAACCCGCGCCCTGCGGGTCAGCAGCCGAGTACCTTAGCCACTAGACCACCGCGGCGGGGCGTATATCCCAAATTTTCTACAAATGAAACTGCTGTAGAATGTGCTTAAGCCTGGCATGATTGAATGTTAATAGGCTAAATATTGAATCCACTCTGTAGAAGGTTAGACTACACGATGGTTCTGCTGAATTTTGAGGGCTAAAATCAGTTTTCTATATGATTGAACTTACCAGGTGTACTACACTGAGCAGTACGAGGAATGAAAACTTTTCGCTTCCGTGTCTTGGGCCGCAGCACCCGAATGATGGCCTGCTTAGCAGCGAAGCTCACTAGCGTGTCCTCGCAGAGCAGCAGACGGGCAAACAGCTTTGCCACCAAGCTCACATTCTCCATATCCAAGGCCACAAATGCATACATCACCTCAACCAAGGCTTGCACCTATTTTCAGAGAATGAAAAACAGAAGGCAATGGTTAACACAGAAAGCTGATCTTGTAGTACTAACTCTGCTACGATGAAATTTCGCTTCAACGAACATTTTTCGATTCTCCGCCCACATCACATAGGCTATACTGTATTAAAACCACCTCCCCAACGAACCATTTTTATACTGTTCTCCTGGTTCAACAAAATTTCCCCGGGACACGAGTTACTTGACCAGCCACAAATCAAAGCCCCCTAACTAGTAAATTGAAGTAGACTGTACTTAAAAACGGCATGAAAAAAAAAGTACACATGACAGCAGCTCTTTTTGCATTTATTATTTTTTTTCTCGTGCTGTCTCTAATGCGACATTCTTATTAGCTGGCCCACATTCAGAGTCTACATTAAACATTTCCTTGGTTATCTGGCAGCTAAAACGATAGTAAACGCACCTAAGCTGACTTAAGTCCACGTAACTAGCCAAATGCTGCAAAACTATGACACCATGGGGGATAGCATCATTTGAGGTTGATGACGATGCTCCGCAGCATTCTGAAGCATAGATTTAAGCCGTGCATACTTGTCAAGTTGAAGGATTCTGAATCTAGGAGATTTCCGCAATGGGGAGGGGTGGGGAATTAAAACACCAAGAACAAACAAACAAACAAAAAAACACCGCGAAATACAAAAGGGGGTGGAACAGGGGTCTCAATCGCAAGCGCCAACATCAGCGTTGTGGTCTTATAGCGGCTAAGAGTGGCCGAACACACGAGGGTAGAGTTTTTCACTAAGGTGAGAGTCTCAAAGGATCTACACAACTAGAAGAATCTATTTCAGTCAAAACAACTCGCGTGCGTCTTCCTGGGACACACGTGAATGGACGGGACGGCGCCAAAACACATCTGGCCCCCTTTTATTGCGATAGCAATCATATGGACAGTATTTTTTTGCCGTCGCCACCGCCGCCGTCCTTTACCGTATATGTATACTATCTATATATATGAACTCTTAAAGAAAAAAAGCCGCCCGCGCTCTATGTCGAGCTCGTCGCGACGTGCCACGCGTGCTTATCTCTCACGTGTACTTTGTCCCATGGATGGATGTCTGTGCACGCGCGCTTATCCTTTGGTGGGGGAATCGTGTTTCTTTGGCTTTCACTGAAAGGAAAGCGTTAGTTGCCGGGCCCGAAAAGGTCACTTTGGTCTCTGCACAAGCCTCTTTTGCGAAAACAGTGCACTTTTCATACACAAGTATAACTGGGACACTTGTTAGTTTGTACTCATCTGTACCTGTGATTACGTATCGTGCATCGTTTTTGTTTAAACAGCGCGTTACGTGTCGAGCAGTAAACGCCCTTAGTTCGCTCTCCTCCTGCGAGTATCGTTTTTGTGCATCATTTGTGTGTGTGAGCAGCGCGCTGGACGTTTCGATCTGCTTGCCGTTCTCTGCGTTACATTCCAAGTTCTTGCTGCCGCATTTCTTCCTTCGCCCTTGCGGCGAAACTGGAACTTTTCTTTATTTTTACATAATTACAGCCTCTAACCTACCGCTGCGTGCCCTTGGAGCTCGTAGATCGCTATAACGTCACCGCAACCGCGGTATTGTGCACGGCGGTTTCGGTGAACACGGCGGTTTCGGCGATTTTACAATCCCCGCATGCACTTGGCTGCGCATGCGCCTTGAAAACTAAATCGTTTTATGCCATCTACGATAGCATCTGCCGCAGGTTTGTCCGCAGAGTTTGCAGAAAGCAGCATTGCCTTGACTGGTTGAGCACACACTTTCGGGGTTCTCTCAGTTACGCCTTCGCCATACATGATCGTGTCAAGAGCAACTGCGGTTTCGTCCTCAGCGGTTGTGGCAACGACAATCACACGCACTAAGTGCGCCGGTCGCACGCATACTTCCGAAGCTTCGAGTATGCTGCTCTCGGTCTTCGTTCGACAATTTCCGTACTAAAGTCTGTATCACCCGCCGCTATTAGAAAATCTGTTCGGAACATTAGAATTGACGCTCAATGAACATAGTAAAATTTGGCTGGAGAATTTAGGAATTCGTATCTGCCCCGGTTTCGCATCACTGAGATTATGCTGTACATTTACATGAACGCCTCTTAAACTCATTTATAATAAAATGGGGTAGGTTCGAAAAGCCTGGAACGGATTTGGCTGCTTTTTTGTCAATGCGGCCAAATCAGGCACAGAAATTTAGATTTGCGGGATATTTTCATGACAACCGTACGACCGGAAAAAAAAATCCAAATCCGGGAGTCTCCCGGCCAATCCGGGAGACTTGGTAGGTATGCCGTGAAAGCCTGCGAGCTTGGCGAGCCGAAGCCGAGCCGAATCTACACGTTGGATAATAGCAGCTGGCTCATCAATTTTTTTTCCCCTGTTATGTGGTGTTATCAGTGTAGCCCTGGTTAGTCCTCGCATCGTCTTGTTAGCTCAGTAAATCAGTAGTTCAGCAGCTTGTTAGCTCCGACCTGCGTGTTTTTTTTTTTCTTCGGTCTACGGCAGCGAAGACTTATGGCGGTGCCACAGAGTAAGAAACGGAAGTTTTTTTCACTAGAGCAGAAGGTAAAAATAATTGTCGCGGCAGCAGAAGGACGAAAAAAGCGATTTATCGCCGAGGAATACAGCATCGCACCGAGCTCGCTGTCAGCGATACTGAAATCCAAAGCAAGCATCTTAAATGCGCTAGCATCGGGCACATCCGACCAACGAAAGAAGACGACCCAGCCAGCTCATGAAGAGCTTGACAAGAAAGTGCATGCCTGGTTTTGCGAAATGAGGGTTAAGAAGAGCCGATAAGCAGTAGCCTAATTCAGCAGAAAGCACTGAACTATGCCTGCCTTTTAAGCATCAACGAAAACTTCAAGGCAAGTGCCGGGTGGCTCAACCGATTTAAGGAGTGCCATGAGATCGCCCGGAAGGTGCTGTGTGGGGAGTCCACTTCTGCTGACTGCAATGGTACATCATCGTGGATTGCGTCGAACACTGCCGACACAGTTGTGAAGTACATTGCGTCCGATGTGTGCAATGCTGATGAGACTGGGCTCTTCTGTGAAATGCTACCAGCAAAGACGCTTGACTTCAAAAGCAAACAGTGCTACAGAGGCAAGCAGAGTAAAAAGCAAGTCACCGTGTTACTTTGCGCAAGTATGGACGGGTCAGACAAACAGCCCCTTCTCGTTATCGGCAAGAGCGCCAAACTGCGGTGCTTCAATGGCACGAAAAACCTGTCAGTGAAGTAGGTTGCCAACAACCATTCATGGGTGGCGAGGGCTATTTTCACTGACTAGATCGTTGTGTTCAACAAAGACATGAGAAAGCAAGACCGCAGTGTTTGCTTGCTGCTGGATAATTGCTCAGCACATCACCAGGATAGCAAGGTCGAGCTCATGAACATTGCAGTGAAGTTTTTTCCGCCAAACTGCACGTCACCGACATCAACACGTCATCAACAGCTCAAAGCACGCATTATCGATCAAGGCTTCTTCAGCGAATTCTGTTGAAGGCGACTTGTTCATGGCTGTCCAAATGTTGGCCACTACATGGATGTCGACACAGCATGACATTAACTGTTTTGTGCACACAGGGTTTCCGCGCAAAGAGATGAACTTGGCCAGCACAAGCAACGACGTACAAGCTGCCGATGACGGACCAAGACAAGACACAGAAACAGCCGCAGCATGGGCAGCTCTCGGGGGTGTCAGCATTGTACCCTAGGGCGTTAATGCTAACGCGGACGTTATCGTGTACGAGGAGCCGAGTGATGCAGAGATCCTCAGGAGTGCTCGCGCAGCTTCTGCCACCGTCGATTTATCAGACGATGAAGCCCCGCATGGTGTTCCAGCGGTCCGGACACCAGTGACCTCTTCGCAGGTCATAAACTACTTGAACATCCTGGGTCGCTTTTTTTGCACCCATGATGACGATGTCGCCATGCAGCTGCACACATATGTGAGCAGTGCATTCTGCTGTTGATTGTGCGAAAGCGCAAGCACTTGAATTTAAGTGATTTTTCAAGTTTTGGAAATAGACTGGCCCCTTAAGACGGCAGACTGGTCTTTGGGAACGAAAAGTGACAAAAAAATGCATTTTTCAAAATTGGCATTTTTGGTTTCTGCAAGTATTTTTCTATTCCTATGCACATTTTCACCCACCAGGAGGTGGTAATTTTTTTTGTAATGTCATTCTGACTGTACAGGTTCTTGGTGTTAGCACAATGCAGAACCTGCAAAAAATGGGGAACCTATTTTGACGCATTTTTATAATTTGCCAGCACCTGTGTCTGAAACTCTACTACCAATTTATGAATGCCTTTTTTGAGCATTTCAAAACATGTACGCCTTGATTGGTGTTTTTAAAAGAAACTGGGTGTTATCAGTTTTTTCCATTTTTTCTCAGAAAAGTAAGTTCACAACTGATCAATTCTGTTCAATGTGTATATCTCTGCAGCTAGGACTGAATTGAGAGCACCAGCCTTTTTAATTAAATACTCATCAAGTTATAATGCAATTAGGGGTAAAACTGCTTTTGAAAATGGGTAAGTTCATCTTGTTGTAAATCAACCAAAAAAGGCCAAAAAAGAAAACTTCTTGCATACTTTCAATCTCTAGTCATTAGTCTATGTTCCTATATTTTAAACATCACTTTTAATTAGGCACTTATTTTTTCTATGGTGGCTTTAAACAATAGGGGGTGAAGTTAAGTTATCTCAGGACGAAGATGAGTTACAGGAAAAGCAATTACATATTTAAAATTGGCAGAAAGAACCACATAAGCCTGTGCACTTTGATAAAGATCACTGAAAAAACAAACAAAAAATGTCTAAGATAAGTCTGCCCCCTTAAGTGTCGTGCATATATTTTTCTATTTATTTACCACTTTTTCTGCGATATCGAGGTTCCCCCAAAAATGAAATTTTTCGCAATCCCAGTGAATTTGGCTGTAGCGTAGTTTGACTGTACTATCAAAATAAATTGTAACAACAACAAAAAAGCAACTGTAG